ATATTAGTATATCAGAGTAACTTTAATAAAAACATAAGAATACATATAATTTACAATTTATTTTTTTTATTTATTTTAGAGTTTCATGTAAATGATCGTAAGTCGACTGGCTGTCTAATGAATAGACCGAGATTTATAGATTTTAAAGCGAAGGAAAAAAATCAAACAACGAATACATACCATATATTTTTCTTTTATCTAAGATACATACCTTATCGTCTTTTGGAAACACGTACATTTTTGCAGTTTTGTTAGTTTCTTTGCAAGATGCAACACAACAAGAAAACACCATTTTTACAGTTAATAAATAATAAAACTATTTCTGACTATGATATTTAAAATTTAGATAGATAGAAAATTAAAAAACAAACGAGTATTTGCAAACGCAGGCACAAATTCTTTAAAAATCAAAATTTTTCCTGCGAAAATCAGGCTTTTTTCACTGAAAAGGTATTTTTTGATTTATCAGCAGTCATTGTCAAGTTGACAATATACAGGTTGTTTTCGAATTAGTCTAAAAAATTATGGTGTGATTCCTCATGTGTTCTTAAAACAATTTTTATATAACCATTAGGTCTAAAGTACTGCCTTTCTGATCTACAGGGTGTTAAAAATTAAAAAAATCGATTTTGTTGCTTAACATAAATGGTACACCACTGTTTTTTTAAAGAAAAAATATTTTTTTCTTGACTGGCCATCCTTTTTCAACAAAATTGATCTTTTGAGTTTTTCTTGTTCATCAAACGGTTGTTGAGAAAAAAAGAAATATACTTATTAAGAGCCCGCCTTAATTCGTTTTCTAAGGATTTTTTATTTTTTAGATTAATTAGGAAACACCCTGTATATGCATATCACAGGCAACCAAATAAACTAGTAACTCTAAAAATTATTTTTCCTACCACTAGCGACATACAGTGTTTTTAGTGTGTACTAAATTATTTTATCAAAATTTCACCATATAAGTTTCCAGGCAATGGTTCGCACTCAAAAAAATTCAATTAATGCCTGTATATATTTTAATATATTTTTTAAATTTACATTTTTTTAATTGTAAAGTAATATATTACATTTAAATGGAATATATTACATAACAATTATGTCAATTACAGGATTACAAGCTTGTTTTCTAACATTTTTTAAATAAAACGAGTTATAAAATTTCAATATATGTATATTTGTCGTAGGTATGAAAAAATTAAAATATAAAATGGACAAACGCTTACTTATATTGCAATAAAACTTCCAATTTTAGTTTTGCAATCCAAACGCAATATTTCTATTTCACAAATAAAAATATCAGACAACACTAAAATCACTGAAATTTCCGCGGCTGACAACGAAAACTGAAAAATATAACGGCACTTTTTGTTTTGAACCTGCATATCAACATTACGCTGTACTATTATGTGTTTGTTGCTGAAATAATATAAAATATATAATTATAACTTGTAAATTTTAATATTTTAACATGATTTTAACTACTTTTGACAATAACTAACTCATAGAGCCTTTGAATAAGAAGACTAAGGAAGGAGAATATCAAAAATCTTAGGTACACCGCGATGGGCCTCAAATATGGCCGACTTAAATTCCGGTTTATCAGTGTCGTTCTAATTTTATTTAAAAAATGTAAAACTATGATGTAGGGTAGACGTGGGGTAGACTCAATAATTTGTTGTTTTATTTTACGTTGTGAATAAATGTTGGTAGTTATTAAAATTGTTATAAAATATAGAATTTAATAAAAATAGATAAGTTATAATAAGTATTTATTAACACAAACATCCGATACGCTACTGAAGCAGGTAAGTCAAATTAACGTATCTAAATTCTTTGACATCTAATCTTTGACAAGTAATAAATAAAAGCTAAAATGCAAGAAAAATATATAATTTAGTTAATTTAAGTGAATTTCATAAATGATCGGTTTACTACACGTATGTATATTATATAGTCACTTACTAGCGAAAAGTTGTTCCATTATTTCCTCAATTTTTTGCCGAGATCTACCGCACGCTACACAACCAACTATTTTAGAGTCTTTTTTCGATAAATCGCGATAGTGTCACTGTTAATTTAAGTTCTGCCACAATTTCCATCTAGATTTACTACCTTTATACAACTATCAGTAGTAGAATAAATAATAAATAACATAAAATAAGCTCCGTAAAGACTGACAAATCCACAAAGTTTCAAATCAAATTCAAATGTGTCAAATGAATCGTCAAACAGAACTGTCAAGGATCCCCACCCTAGAGAGCTTTTATGGTGGCTTTTCCGCCCACCATGCATGAATACATGGATAGCATTATGCTCCTTCTTTAGTCTTCTTATTCAAAGCATAGAACTAACTTTTTGTTATCAAGATGACATTTTAGACGGCAACTGACATATATGTCATAATATTTGTATCTTAAATATGCATGTAATATAATTTAAATTACTATATAATGCAACTTTATACTTAGAAAACTTTTATACATTCACAAAATACAACAAAGTCTAATAATATAGTTTGAAAACAATGAATATTGAATTAAAATTGAAAAAGTTAAGCCCGACCCCTTGTGTCAAAATTAGAAGATTAAATTTTCGCAGTTTTTACACCATTTGATGACCGGTGGCGCCTCTAGTGTTTGTTCGGGCGGTTGGGCTTTTATTCCCGCTTATGGCCATTAAAGAAAAAGTTCTTGATTCTATCAATAACTTTGAATAAGAAGACTAAGGAAGGAGCATAATGCTATCCATGTATTCATGCATGGTGGGCGGAAAAGCCACCATAAAAGCTCTCTAGGGTGGGGATCCTTGACAGTTCTGTTTGACGATTCATTTGACACATTTGAATTTGATTTGAAATTTTGTGGATTTGTCAGTCTTTACGGAGCTTATTTTATGTTATTTATTATTTATTCTACTACTGATAGTTGTATAAAGGTAGTAAATCTAGATGGAAATTGTGGCAGAACATAAATTAACAGTGACACTATCGCGATTTATCGAAAAAGACTCTAAAATAGTTGGTTGTTTAGCGTGCGGTAGATCTCGGCAAAAATTGAGTGAAATAATGGAACAACTTTCGCTAGTAAGTGACTATATAATTACGTGTAGTAAACTGATCATTTATGAAATTCACTTAAATTAACTAAATTATATATTGTTCTTGCATTTTACCTTTTATTTATTACTTGTCAAAGAATTTAGATACGTTAATTTGACTTACCTGCTTCAGTAGCGTATCGGATGTTTGTGTTAATAAATACTTATTATAACTTATCTATTTTTATTAGAATTATATATTTTTATAACAATTTTAATAACTACCAACATTTATTCACAACGTAAAATAAAACAACAAATTATTGAGTCTACCCCACGTCTACCCTACATCATAGTTTTACATTTTTTAAATAAAATTAGAACGACACTGATAAACCGGAATTTAAGTCGGCCATATTTGAGGCCCATCGCGGTGTACCTAAGATTTTTGATATGCTCCTTCCTTAGTCTTCTTATTCAAAGATCAATAACAATCTATCAAAGAACGAAAAGGAAATTACTTTACCATAGAAATAGAAACGCGTTTTGATTTTTAGGAAAAAACTAAACCATATTTTCATGTTTTCTTTAATTTTCTCTAAAACGGTATGGAAATTAGGAAAATTATAAACGGGATTAACCATTTTAGAACAACTAAATTTTTTTTGAAGAATGCATTTTTCTAAAAATGTCAATAATAGAAAAGTTTTTCCTCTTGTATAGACAATCCGGAGACACTGTAGAAAATTATTATGTACAAGAATAACAATAAAGTACTCATATGAAAGAATCTTTTCTAAGTACTCGTAATATTTTAAATTAATAATATTAGTATAATATAAGAATTGAAAAAAAATATAGCTCAACTTTCGTTTAGCTGAAATCTGTTATAAAAAATGACTTTATATAAATATGCGTTCTAGAAGGCGTTAGGAGTACAAATATACAAAAAATTTTCTGCGGAAACGCGTCATTTTCATTTTTCGGACTTTAGTATAGCTGAAATCTGTTACATCAAAACTAGTTTTCGGGGTGTGTTTTAGACATTTTTCTAAACATAAAAACACAAAAAAGTGTCTGCGGAAATTTTTTATTTTGATTTTACATAAAAAAATGCTTTGACTTTAGAATAGCCGAAATCAGTTACATGAAAAATGAACTTTTATTTGTTTTATACGAGCCTTTACGAGCAAAAATATGCAAAAAATTCCTGCGGAAATGTGTCAATGTCATTCTGTGCACTTTGTTTTTCATACATTTTTCAGTTTAGAAGCTTACGGGACCCGGGAGCGAATAGGGGTGCTGGGTGGGGTAAAACATCTTTCGAAGGAATAACAATTCTTGTAGAATAGATAATATAGGTTCTTGTAAACTGTAAGTACCTCGGAATGTTGCCCTTATTCTTGTTTTTTATTAAAGCTTTACATAAATAGGGCTGATTCAAAACAAAAAATCATTGGATCATGCAGTTTTCTTTTATATTTTAATAATTAACTGTGATTTTGCAAAAATATTATTAGATTGGTTAGGATTTGGGTTGCTTTGGTTAGCTTTCCTTTGTGGAGGGTGTTAAGCTGTGGTTTCTATATGTATATAGGAAAATGTATTTTTTTATAGCAGATTTCAGTTATTCTAAAGTGCGAAATTTGGAAATTACGCATTTCCGCAGGAAAATTTGTGTTTTCCGTGGTTCACAGTAGCTTTTTTTAAGACAAATTTTTTTTTCTAATAACTGATTTCAGCTAAACGAAAGTTGACCCAAAAATATTTTTAATTCTTTCAATTCAGAATAATTATTGAAATAAAACATTTTGTTAACATACATGGCGAATGCGCCAGGTTACATCTATATACCTTTCGAACTTCATCAAAATATTTTATATTTTTGTTAAATCAATATATTTTATGTTTTCTTTTCTATAGCAACTATTCTAAAATCGTCCAAGTGACATTTAGTTGTCAACCTTATTTATATCATACTTCTTAAAAGTCAGTGCAGTTGTACAATTTCCCATACTATGACCTCTGAAATTCAGATAGTTGAGTCTCAGACCTCTTTACCTGATCAACTGATCATCAAATCATCTTCTTCTTCAACCAAGAGCACAGGCGGGGCGAAGGCGAAACTTATAAGGTAAAAATACGTAAAAATTGGTATTTTGTGTAGATAATAATATTATACATCTTAAGGGTATGTTCACACACGTGCGGCTCCGTCAACTAATTGACCATCAGTCTCTCGGAGATTTTTCTAAGTAACAGTTGCACAAATGATGCTATGTTCGACCTTTTTAATAATGTATACTCTAGCCTGAATAACCATCACTCTACAGCTACAATTTTCTGTGATTTCTCTAAGGCTTTCGACTTTCGACTGTGTAAATCATAATATCTTAATTAACAAATTGCAATACTATGGATTTAGGGGAGTGCCGTTCGAATGGCTTAAGTCATATCTTGGCAACAGAAGGCAGCTTGTAAGGATTGATACGTCTATGTCTTCTTGTAAGCCTATAGAATGTGGTGTCCCTCAGGGTTCAGTACCTACTTGGCCCTATTTTGTTTCTGGTGTTTATCAACGACATTGCAAATCTAGACATTAGCGGTAAAATCTGCCTCTTTGCGGACGATACTAGTTTCACTTGGAGCGGCTAAGATGTTACGGCACTATATAATACTATATCCAGTTACTCAACCTATCAAAAACTAAAGTTTTGTCATATAAAAGTACTATACAACCTTTTGTACTTAATAACACCACTATTGACGTCGTGGACTCTGTGAAATTCTTAGGACTTGTTGTAGACAACTCGTTAAAATGGGACTTTCACATCGAAGGATCCAAGGAAACTAAGCGCTAATCCAACCAAGGAAACTAAGCGCTTCCTGTTTTGCGCTAAGATCAGTTTCTATGGAACTTAACTTATCAACCTCTAGAATAGTTTCTTATGCTCTTTTTGAGTCGCATTTTCGTTATGTCCTTCCATTCTGGGGTACTTGCTGCGCAACAAAATTTGATCGTATTTTCAGACTTCAAAAGAGAGCAGTTCGATATTTATTGGGACTGAACAGTAGAAGTCACTGCCAGAATTTCTTTAAAAATTTCAAAATACTGACTCTTCCTTCTTTATTCATTTTTGAATCCGTTTGCTTAATCCGCAAGCACATATCTGCTATTCCCGAAAGGCCATCTCATAACTATCCACTTAGGAATGTGGAGCACGATCTTTACCTGCCAACCCCGAGCTAGTATGATTTGTATTGTGTATTTTTTGTTGTTTGTATATATTTTTTTTTGTGCTTTTGTTTGTTTTGTGAGTGCTTTGTCGATGAAGCTCTTTTGGCTTTTTGCACAATAAAGCGTTGTTTGTTGTTGTTTGTTGAGATCAAATCAAACTTAATCAAACTTTATTTCTATATACAATTCAATACAATACATACAATAAGTACAATACATTTTTTATTTTTTATTATTATACTCTGTTTTTTTTCTCAGGTAAGATTTCGACAGACGATGACAGAAAAAAAGCAGATGACGTCCCATACCAATCTATTTATTTTACTAAAAAAAGTTTCTAATAATTTTTAAGTTAACTATGGATGGGTTTAAATATATATCCGTCATACGTCGTCTCTTGTTGTTTTTAACCAGTTTTATTGGTTTATTTCAAAAATGACAGATCGTATTTCAATTTTATTGGTTTGACGGAACGACGAACAACAAACGGACGCCAATGCGTATGAACTCGCCTTTAGATTTTTGACGCTTGTCAAAGTCTTGCCAAATTATAGGTTATAATTTTGTGTCAACATTTGTCAAATACCCTGCGTTTGGTTTGGTTCATCTTCCAAGATGCACTTTGATTCGTGTTATTAAGTGTGTTTTGTGTCTTTTGAAGTCAAGTGGAGGAAAAATTGAGGGAAAATTAACTTTAGACCCAGAGCACAGTTTATAGTTAATAGGTACTCGCTGCCCAGGCAGAAAGTCTTATACACCAATAAAGTTACCATCAATAAAGTTCGTATACCATCTCGTCATAGATAAGTGCATCTCGAATATGGTAGAAGGGCCATACTAAACACATACTAAAAACTGGAGTAGCTGTAAATATCGACATTACACGATAGGTAAATAAAGGATTTTAGTACTGCAGAAAAACAATGTCAAAAGGTACTGGTTTAAAAAATTAAGATTAAAGTTAATTAATCAACCTTTGGTAAGTGTTATGTCATCTTTAACTTGTGTTGCAAAAGCATGTATTTGAGTTTAAAGATGGCGAGTTTCAAGCGGGAGCAGGGTTGCCACAAGAAAATTTTTGATTGTGTAGAACTTGACCATAAAAATGTGTAGCATTGTGTAGCCATCCATGACCAATAATTGTAAACTATCCAATAAGACCAAGAAAAAGACGTACGTTCGCCAAAGTTTAAAGCATGATTACGAGTCTCACTTCCACTCGTTTGTATACGTCAATATCATGTCAATATATTCATCCCCCCCCCCCGCAACTACGTCAAAATTGATGTCACGAAAAAACGAAAACGAAACTAACGATTTTATGGACAAATTAGACCGGTTAGTCTCTTTAAAAATTGTAAACAATTCAGGAGTGTTTAATCGGCCAAATTTCCATATAAACTGCAGTTCTTGCTGATATGGGGGGAAGTGAAATAGGAATTGAATATTATTCACGTATGCCTACGAGTGGCGTGGAAGTGTGACGTAACGATGACGTAATTGAGCAAACCTAACCAAAGTACGTGTTATCAGAGGTGTTATGTATTATTTAAGGAATTAAACAATCCTGTCTCTTTGATCCTGTCTATTTACCGTTTATGACTGGACCAATTAAGGTCCTTAATTCATGATCCAGTTCATACTCTGACATTTTACTGAACACCTGAGGATGACGGAAAAAGATATTTGTCGGTTCAAAATTTAAAGTTTACTTGCGGCCTCTTTTAATGTAACTTAGATAACTTAAAAGCAAAAAAAAAACAGCTTTTGTCAGCTGATTTACGGTTTTGGTATTATTTTTTATAAGAAATATGTAAATTCTCAAAATGTGTAGCACAGGCGATTGTGGTGTAGCTGTGCAATTATGGTAGCAAATGTGTAGCAAAATACACAATTGTGTAGCTTTTGGCAACTCCGAGCGGGAGCGAAGACGTGGCGACCTGGACGATTGATGTAAAAATCGATGTTAAAAATCGACACACATTTTTTGTAATAAGTAATTTGTCAATGGTAATAAAAACTAGTAATATAAGAGAGTATCTAGTAAAAAAAGGAAATAAGAGAAAAAAAATACAGACAGATACAATCAACTTTTAAAGTTAAATAGTATTAAATATATACAAAAGCGATGAATAATTATCATGAACGTATGATTCAGTAAGAGATTTGAATTTTCGTTTATTATTTAAAGACTTTCTAATACAATCTGGATATATAAGATACAATAATATATACATATTAAAAAGTTTAGGAGCAAAATAAGTCACTGTCCTCTGTGTATGAGTTTTTGAATACAGGGGTATACGCGAAGCGGTGACATAGATCTAGTACTATATACGTTATTGAAATAAGAGAGGGTATCTTTTGTTTTCGAGATATACAATAAGCAGGAGTGTATATACAAAGCACGCAATGGAAGTAAATTTACTTCTTTATATAGGTTATTTGTTGGGTATTTAAAATCTTTTTTATAAATAATTTTTAAGACAGTATTTTGTGCGTGTTTGTTTTACGTATTGCATTATTAAAACTCCCTACCCATATAGTTAAACAATAAGTTATAATGGATTTTACAAAGGCATTGTAAATTACTTTTAATAAATTACAATTTACTATACCTCTTAAGAGGACCTGTCAAATAATTTTGGAACAATTTTAATGAACTTCCCCGAATTCCGACTTGTTCAAAACGTTCTAACAATACTTTATGCGAAACGGTGTCGAAAGCCTTTTTTAGATCCATAAAAACAGCAAGACATTTTTTATTTTTATCTAAATTATTATTTATTTGATTAACCAATTCAAATACAGCGTCTTCTGTGTTGTGACCGCCTCTAGAGTATTAACAATGAGACTGAGACGGTACGGCAATCGAACTAAGACGTGACTGACATGTGTGAATAGGCCCTAAAGCTATCGAATAAGGTTTCCTTTCTAAAAATCGCTTCTAAATTGATTAGGTCTCATATCCCAGTCAAAAAATGTGGACCACAGCAATTAATGAAAAAACTCAAGCCAAAGACGCCATTGGTCAAAAGGTACTTTACTTCAGGGCATGATATAAATGAGAAGAATAGAAGAGAGGCGACAGATGTAAGTAACAAACACATAGGTACACTGGCAAGTGTGAAGAATACAGGGTGTATGAAAGTTCAATATACAGGGTGTCCCAATATTAGTGCCTAAAAAATAACTAGTGTTATTTATGAACATCTCCTAAAATTATAATTATGTACCTTCAAAAAATCTCATTATAGGCTTGGTGCATTCTCCGCCGGTGCTGCCACCATCGGAGAATATCGTAAACAACTGGTATATACAAATACACGGATTTAAATAGCGAGTATGGTGGAAAATTTATTATAGGGCTATTTCACAAAAAATAAAATACACAATTCAAGGACAAAATCTGAAATAGAAGACTATTTTCAGTATATTTATCAAAAAAAAAATAGTTCCGTGACATTGAATAATTTTTTTATAGGTCCTCAAAATTGCTTTAATTTGAAATAAATTTAAAGCGCCAATTGATGACGTATGAAAAATACGCCCAATCACATTGCAGAACCGTGCTCGTGCGCCAGCCAACAACTGGCAACATTGCGATTTGATTTGACCAGCACCACCTCAACTCAAGGCCAATCAACATGATATGGGCAAAGCAAATATGGCGGCGAAGGCAGCGTATTATTAAATTGTTTAACTTTAACCTGAAAAGCCGGTAGTGGTTTCGCGTTCCCATTGCATACCAGAAATAATTAATTATCTCTAGTTTGTTGTGCTTCTGCAACACGTTTGTTTTGTTCTTAGTGTTCAGTGCATGGTATGATCAGAAAATTGTGATATAATAACAGTGTAATAAAAATCCAAACCAGACATTCCACATAGGGAACTTCAAACTTTTGTGCTTGTCGTACTCCTCTATTATTAATTATTTTAAGGTAAGAACTAGAAGTATTTATCAAGATATTACACCTAAATGAGTAAAATGCCTTCACCGCCAGTCTGCATAGTACTTTATAATGGTTACTTACAATAATCAAAAGATAGGTATTAACATTTTATTGTAGCATACCTTTTACATGCTCTATTCCAAATTGTCACGAGAATTATAGAGGGGGTCCCAATGTTTCTGCTTTTGTATTCCCCAAAAATGACGAGCTTCGTAAAAAATGGTTGACAGCTATTAAAAGAGATAATTTCACTCCTACTAGTAGTTCTCGGGTAAGAAGTGCATTAAATATGCCTCACAAAAGCCAAAGCCTCTGTTACCCTACTGAGGATGTAGTTATGGCTACACTGCTTACACTTACCTCACTATAAGTAAAATATTGGAAGAATAATCAAGCTTTTTACATCAAAAAGACCACAGAAAGATATTGACAACATTCACATTTGAAAATATAAATGGCCTGCCTGGATATAAGTCTTTTTTTAAGTCACAATTGCCACTCACATGCGTCAGAATTTATTATTAAATCCATCTTGTTCAGAATATCCAATATTTTATTGAAGAACTATGCAAAAAAAAGGAATGACGTTATAAAAAGGTATTTAGTTTTTTTTCTATATAAAATCTTGAAACACATATTATATTTTTTAGTTATCCTCACCATTATAGTTTAAATTTATTCCCATTTGTGTAATGCTGCTAAACATAGGAAAAATATTCCATATTTTTTGACCCAAGCCAGTGTAGTTTATAATTCCAAGAGCATTTACCAAAGCTTTTACTAAGACAAGTAACTTCCTATACTGTCCATAATAGTATATATTTATCAAACGTGTAGTAAATTCTAAACTATGGTAGGTAAGTGTTTGCAATTGAATATTTAGTTTATATTGCTATTTTCTGTCATATATTTCTGGTTATTTCTTTTTCCGATGATTTTGAACACCCTATATATGCTACCTCAAGTTTGAATATTTACACGCTAGTACACTACCTATCTATTTTCTGAGAAAACAGACCTTTTTATAAAAAGTTACTAACTGATGTTTTCATAAAAGTAATAATACAAAAAATTCCATACTTATGTGGAGAGCTTTAGACTCCCTTTATATTAAAAAATTAGTGAAATATTACGTAATCTAACCCGACATTTGTGTGAAAAATGCCTATTTGGAAATAAAACAGGTTTTAAAATACGCGCCAAATAAAGCACTTCTATCTCCGCCATATTGGAAAAGGTTGAATGGCCTTGTGTGGAGGTGGTGGTGGGTCATACATACAAACCTCGTACCTGAGTGTTTTATATGTTCAATTAGCGTGTACCAGCGACTTGATTCGCGTCGAATTAACCATTTGTAATGGTGATGATAAAGCAAAGCAAGAATTTCCATTAACATACAAACTGGATAAAATTTTCTCACATTTATGTCAGCATGAGAAAAAAGAATATGGCGATATTATTACAAAACTTGGTAATATTTGAGGAGTAGTTTCATCTCGTTGGAATTTGACTTTCGAAAAATCCGTTTGCCAAAAATAAGCTTTTTATGTCAAGCAGTTTAAGCAGAATCGTGGTTAATCAATTACCCAACTTTTTGGAACACCTTGTATGATTTTTTAAAAAATTTCAAAATATGTAAAAGAACAAAATAAATTATGCGTGTCCAAGCGTTTTCCCGAAAGATTAACCGTTTTTTAAATAACAAAAAATATTGTAATATTTGAGGGGTGGTTTCACCCTCTTGGAACTGGAATTTCAAAAAATCCCTTCTTATCGAACCTTTACGCCGTAGAAACAACCTGTATACCAAAATTGAGCTTCTTACGTTGAGTGGTTTGAGCAGGATCGTGATTAATCAGTGAGTCAGTCACTTAAGGATTTTATATATTAGTATAGATAACGGCACTAGCAAAAAACTAAAATACTTTTCGACACGATTTCAAAATTATTTTAATGCGATCAACATGAACAGTAACCGAGACGGCTTGAAATACATAGCGAAAATTTCTGATTCCTGCCGTATACAAAATGTTAACGTTGTATTTCAATCTCATAATAGGAACCGTCTCCCTTTCAATATCCAAAAGATCTGGAGGTTTTCGCTCACAAGGTCATGACCAAGGCTTGGAGGAACGATGTGAGGCTGAAAGAACTGAAAATGAGTTGCTTTAAAAAACCGAGCCACAAAGATCGGCAAAAAAGGGACCTGCTTAACAGACTGTACGTCGAAGAGCCTAAGCTTATGGATGTTAAGACTATTTTGGAACTGGCTCCTGAGTATTTCAAGATAGTAGAAGGTAAGTGCAACCCTTGTATATGCTATTACTAAGACTTCGCTGTCCGTCCGTCAGTCTGTCACAAAGGTCTATCTTATGAACCGTTATAGCTAGACAGTTGACACTTTTACAGATAATGTATCTATGTGGCCGCTCTAAGAACAAATACTAAAAACAGAATTAAATAAATGTTTATAAATAAAAAAGTACTTTCCCTAAACATTATCTTTTAAGTAAAAATTTTACATAGAATCTTTCAAGTCCTCGGTGGCCGCGTGATTAAAGCGTTAGGACTTTACGCTGCTATGACGTTGGAGCCGTAGTAAGGCAGGTTCGAATCCTAGTCAAGGCGACTTTTTTCTATCGTTTTTTTAGTTTTTACATATATTTACATATTTATTTTTACTTTTTGCATATTTATTATTGATTAATACAATTTTTAGTAATGTGTATAATATATTCGAGATAAATTTCTTTTGTTCGTCTTTCGGGTTCATAACGGAGTCGGGGATTCACTTGAAAGACAACAGACTCACTACGCACGCGTAACACGACAAATAATCAAAACCGGTTCCGAAAAATTGACATTTTATTTACTAGTGGTATTGAGCATTTTTTTTATTCTGCTGCTTGGCTAATGCCTAACAGTTTAAAAAAGAATGCTGCTGTTAAAAATTTATCATAAAAATATATAAAAATCTGACTTAAGCCTTTTTATGAAAGACTTTTTATAATTTTTTTTTAATGACTTAAGTCTTTTCTAAAAATACTTAAATCTTTTTCTATTTCGGAATAAAGATTTAAATCACAAACCATTTTCAAGAAGACTTATATTTTAAGTCTTAAGTCAGCCTTCGAAAAATGACTTAAAATCAAATGACTTAAGTCATTGAAATGGTTTAAATAAAAAAAAACTTAAGTTTTCCGTGGGCTTGCAGCTCTGATCTATACAGGGTGATTCACGACGATGGCACGTTAGACGTTTATGGAGAACCGGTGATAGGAATTTTTTAAAAATTGAGTTCTTATATTAAGGCACCTGCGCCATCTGTCTAAATTATTTTCAGCATTACAGTGTTGCCGCTTCATACTAAAAGTGGTAGTATCTTTGTTTCTTAGTGTTTAAAAAATAATTTTTTTTTCTAAATTTTAGGTAGACCAATACCTGATCATCTGGACATTAGGCAGTACATTGAGACGGTCAGGGAATCTCTAAGGACTAAAATTATAAACGGATATAGAGAAGATGACATAATGTTGATAGAGGAGAACATACTATTAGAACAGAAAATCATTGACACTATTAGAGACAACTACGATAAGTATGTCAACGCTTTCGAAGAGTTCCTGTATAGAGATCATACATCTTCCATGAAATTACTAAAGGTTATTATTATACAGGGTCCGGCAATAGTTCGTCGGGCATCTGTAAATTCTAAGATAAAAAAATAAGAATTTTGTTTTAGCGCAAATTTAAAGTATGTTCGAAGATGTATTCCAGGAAAATATTTAAACTTCTATAGGGTGGCTCAAAAGAGTGTGAGTGGATCGTGATGATTTTTTTTAAAGGGAACATCCTGTATATTATTGCATTTTTGGTTTCTTTTTAGATCACTTTACATAATACTTCTTTATTTGTATTTGTATTTTTTTTAATGAAGTGTGAAAAATATATATTTTTTTATTAATAACTCTGAAACTATCGAAATATATTTATTCATATCTTAGGATTATGTAAAGTGATCTGAAAGGAAGCCAAAAAATCAATAATATACAGGGTGTTCCATTTAAAAAAAATCATCCTGATCTACTCGCACATTTTTGAGCCACCCTATAGAAGTTAAAATATTTTCCTGAAATACATCCTTGTACAGTGTGTCCCATTTTGGTTGAAATCATAGGGTATCTCCGTTATTAGTGAAGATAGAAGGGTGCGGTTTGCACAAACCTGTCCCACTTTTTCGTCAAACGGAAGATGCTGCAAACAAAATTTTCATAGCCCTCTTAGTTTCTGAGCTACAGGGTATTTTCGAAAATTTTGCAATTTGGGACACCCACTGTATCTCTGTTATTGTTAAAGGTATCGAGAAGGCGAAAACTGCTTATTGTAGAACTTTTTACGTGGAATACAGTGGCGTAGTTTGTTTTTCTACCAAAAAAATATTTTTGAAAATATGAACTAAAGTTATATTTTTTCAAATGGAACACCCTGTATATTTATAAATCATATGATCTGTCTTGCTATGAGCTTCTCAAAAATATATATCACTCTATATTTATTTTTACTATTTACTGCAATGCAATATTTAAAATATATCATTTTCTTATTAGTAGGCCGTGATAAATAACAAAAAATCAAAATGGTATTTACTAAAATAGTCATACACATATTAAAATTAATTTGGGATTGATATATTTTACTTTTGAAATAACTGTTACCACTGAAACTGTGAATTTATTTTTCTTTTTTTTTATAACGGAATGGGTTTGCAAATCTCTAAAAGCTTGAATTATTAAAGCATTTTTCAGGTGTTCGACATTGTTGTAGGTTGTAGTGCCCACGATATATTTCGTATTTCAAAAATTCCCAAAATCAGAAATCGAGAACGGCGAAATCCGGAAATCGAGGAGGCTATCAATATGTGTTCATTGGTTCCAATTCATTGATTTGAAAAATAATAATTTAACAGTATTCTAATATTTTCATAGTTATGAAGGGGAATGTTTGGTTTGGTTTGGTTGTGATATATCAGTAAGATGGAGGTTTGGTTTGGTTGTGATATATCAGTAAGATGGAGTTACTGAAAGTATATTTCACGTAAATAAGCTAAAGGAATATCTAAAATTTCCGATACGATAGATTATTCGTACGTATACACGTATTCCAAGATTTACAAATAGCGGTAGGGAGTTAAGTTTCCCTAATATATAAAGAATTTATTAGCGGCTCCCAAAATAATACAAGGGACAGATAGCAGTATACTTTTAATAATTCTTTAGTTTCTTTTATTATCAATCATGGCCTACTAATAAATATGATCTTTTAATAAAAACTTTTAAATATTGCAGTAAATAGTGAAAATAAATATAGAGTGATATATATTTTTGAGAAGCTTATGGAAAGAGAGATCATATGATTTATAAATATACGGGGTGTTCCGTTTAAAAAAACATAACTTTAGTTCATATTTTCAAAAATATTTTTTTTGTAGGAAACCAGACTACGCCACTGTATTCTACGTAAACAGTTCTAGAATAAACAGTTTTCACCTTCTCGATAGCTTTAACAATAACAGAGATACAGGGGGTGTCCCAAATTGCAAAACTTTCAAAAAGACCCTGTAACTCGGAAACGAAGAGGGCTATGAAAATTTTGTTTACGGCATCTTCCGTTTGACAAAAAAGTGAGACAGGTTTGTGCAAACCGCACCCTTCTATATTCACTAATAACGGAGATACCGTATGATTTCAACTAAAATGGGACACCCTGTACATACTTTAGATTTACACTTAAACAAAATTCCCAAGTTTTTTATTCTAGGAGCTACAGATGCCCGAGGCACTATTGGCGGACCCTGTATATGGTTCACATCAAATAAACTTTTAGTCACGTGATTAAGCTTGACCGGCACAACGTTGCCCACTTTTACATATTTTCTTTTAATCAAAATATTTTACAAAACAAAAATACATTTATTATAAATATATAAACAGTTATTTTTTACATAAAAAAAGATAATCTTCTTAACAACACTTGAGGGAGATAAAGGGGCATTACTACCGTTTTCCCGTTCAAAATATTCTAATAAAGTTGCGATGAATTTTTTACGGCTATTAAGCTATCTTGTACCACTTTGCACTAAAAGAGGTTCTAAAAAGAACAATGTTCGACTGCAAGGTCTGCTAATAAACATATTTAAGCTTGAAGTGTCTCAACTCAATTCATTTAAACCAAAAACTCGTAATACAAAACTAAAATGTCAAAACGAATGACAATGTCAGGAAATAAATAAATAAATGTAGCAACTTCACATTTTTTACAGCAGAGCTACCACCTGAATCCCCAGCGCGAAATTTAAATTCCAGTTAGTCGGCCCGGCGCCGAATATGTCCATGGTTGGAAACAATGAATTTAAAAATCGCGCCCTCGATTACGCAACTAAAAGTGTAAAATCGCTATTTTTGGGGCTTACTCAACCGGGTCTCACAATGCAAATTCACCTCAAATATCCATTTAGTTGGTCATTGGCAAGCACTCTCTCATTGTACATGAAAATAACAAAACAAACATTTACTGATCTGGATAAAATTGATAGTTAAATACTAAGACTCACCCGGAGGTACTCCGCCCCCTAGCCACTGACATCACTGATATTCTATTCAATATATCACATTCCATATCTTCCATCTAATTCAAATATTATTCGGATCTATTGGTTAATAATCTTCAACAACTAGCTAGTGTCACCTGAAATAGTATAGGGGCTTCCCCCGGACGCAACTCTGCCGCTAAACAGATTCGCATCCCAATCGAATAGGCTATTGGGTAGCTCACTATCCCAACGCCGCATCGTCAATCGAGAAGACATTATGGAGACCTCAAACTCTCAAGACCAACTCGAAGGCAGGACGTCACAAGAGGTTTTCTTACCGTGGTCAAACGACCCCGTTGGCTTACAGTCAAACGATTTGCAACTATATTAGTCAAAAGACTCGCAACCTCCATTTGTCAGCTCTGTGACAAAACACAACACTCCACAGCCGGCCGGCCTATCAACAACTGACTGACCTGCCGCGCGCCGCCAAGCTAAGCCTCCTCTTACATCACAATTTTACCTGATCACAAATGTTTGCATCGCTTGCCAATGAATCATACTGTTTTCTCCATAGACTTAAAATAAAATATAGACTACACTATTTACATCTCAACGCGGACAAACAACCTTTTTTGTACACATGTTTACTTCTGGGTACAGTCGACCGAGCCTTCCTCATCCAGCCTATGTTGTCACGTCTTTAATATTATCAATATTTTTTTTCTTGTTATACACATATATTGAGATATTAATACTACAGTTTAATAAAGTAGGTTTTAATATTCCATAGATGTATTAAATAGTCCTTATACTACTAAATTATAAGTCGGATACTGTTTAATAAGGATAAGTTCTTTACAATATGACAACACCGATTAGAGGCGAGGGAGCCTATTCATTCATTTATTACCTTGTAGTACGTGTCGCACGTGTGCGGTAAAGCTTTGTTGCCGCTATCTCCCCGGCTGTATTAACGCATTTTCTTAGCTTGTAGTCCTTAAGTGTTTATTTTATTGACTTTTTCTGTTCAAAAACTATAAAATATGGTTCGCCAGTGCCAAATTTGTAAGAAATTTGACTTAAATAATCCATTTAAGTCTTGAAACGACTTTTGACCGGTAGGCAACTCTCAATTTACCCATTGGCAGTCAGTGGCGTTGTTGTAGAAAGGCGCTTATTTAGATAATATTTTAGTAAAATGTAAAATCTGATTTTTTTCTTTTACATTACATTATTTTACTTACTTACATTGTAACAAAATCATAATTATAACCCTGTTAATAATTAATAATGTTTTTATTAAAAATATATTCTGGTTTATTCTAAAATTATCTTCAGAATCTAAAATAACATACAAGAATTTTAAAATGATATTACATTATGAAACAATATTTTTTAATATACCAGGTCGTCTCAAAAGTGGCTCAACCCTATAACTTTTTTTATTTTTTCAGATAAAAAAACAGATTTGTATGTTAGTAGGTATATGGCATAAATTAGGATTTATTGACGTATTCAATTGTTTTTGGTCTCTTCCTGTTTCACCGAAATGATTACATCTTTTGATTTTTAAAAGCACCCTCGGTATATTGCTACTTTATTCGATAAAAAATGACACTCTGAATAGAATGACATATCATATGTCAACTTTTGACATTGTCGCTTAAAAACATATCCTATTTTAAATTTCAATCCAGTTTTTTCAATCCACTAAGTTTTAATCAAGGAGCCTTGGAAAAATAGTTTTGATCGTCTAATAGGTTTCGTGTCTTGTCTAGGCCGGTTAAAAGATGTACAAATCGTATTTTTAATCATACATATGTCAATTTTTTCAAATGGAACAAAGATGACTCATTAGCATATTTGGAAAAAGCATTTTTTTATGAATATATTGATAGCACACACTTGGTATTTCGAGTCAAATTGTCGTTATGAACCGCGTGTTACAATTACAATTAAACCATATGCGAAAATGTCAAAAGTTGACATATGATATGTCATTCTATTCAGAGTGTCATTTTCTATCGAATAAAGTAGAATATACCGAGGGCGCCGTTTAAAAATTAAAAGTTATAGTCATTTCCGGTTAAAAAGGAAGTGACCAAAAACAATTGAATGCGTCAATCAATCCTAATTTATTTCATATACTAACATACTAAATCTTGTTTTTTTATTTGAAAATATAAAAAAATTATGGGGGATGAGCCACTTTTGAGACGCACCTGGTATAATAAAGACAGTACCGAGTTAAATAAATGTAGTTTTTATTTTATCACCTTCCTTGCTTTAATGGAACAGATTTATGTTTTCTCTAATTTACATAATAAGACATCACTTAACCAGAAACAAAATTACAACAATCATATTTTTTTTTCTCTCCCTGTCGCCGATTCTATTATATCTGTGGAATAGATCCTGTTTTGATTAATATTAGGGGTTGTAAATGTTTGACTAAAATTAATAATTTATTATTAATTTCAAAAATTACCTAATTTCAATTATAAAATTTCTTCTATAACGTGTATTTTATTATTTTTATCCTTTTTGGACTCTAAATTGTTTTTTCTAAACTTATATTTAAAAAACCTGTCCTAAATCTTAATAAAATATAAAAAAGTTTAAATACGATATATTTTTAATTTAATTATAGCTTCATTAAAATAAAAAAATTACCCGGCTATGATACGGAGAGTTCAGGTGTACTTGAGAAACGAAAGTTTGTGTTGTGTTTCTCGGCAGAGTCGTCAGGGAACGACCGTTACGACAGAGACAACCTATCTATCGCTCGTGTCGCACTCGTTATAACCTAAAACAATAACACAACAATAACAAGACAGTGTCTGACCGCATGTTCCAGCTATTTATGAATGAGATGCTCAGTCTATATTTTATTTTAAGTCTATGGTTTTCTCTAATCGACTTTCAAATAGAGTGTTTTAGCATTACTAGATAAATAAATAGAGAGTTTCTGAAGGAAAGCATATTCTTTATTAGAATAGTGAATAAATAAAAGCATTATTATAACAAACTTATTTTAGACGCCCTTTTCCTCGATCACGTGATATTCTTTTATAATATTTTTTAGGACTCTGAAATAGCGGCTCAAGAAGCGTACGATAAATATTCTGAGTACAAAACGGTTTTGAAAAAGTTCGGAGCGATCAGATCCTCGATATACAACTCGGAGGAAAAATGGCGCAACTGTCAAATGTACGAGAAATTCTTGTTTTTGGTCAGCCCGTTCAGTTGGAGGGTGCAGCGATTGTAAGTTTGGCCTCCAACAATTATTTTCTAAGTAACAAAAGTCTTAAGCTTGATTTTGATGCATCCGTTATCCGACGGTACGATGATGCGATATTAATTTTATCGGTTGAATTTAAAGATTTCGATCGGTTAGAAAAATAAGCAGTTTGTAAATTTATTGCATGTTCAATGTTCGTGCCTCCGTTCATCGGATATACGATTTGCTTGTGACTGGTGTCATTTTATATTTCCATTTCCATAACGATTTAGCTGTTTTATTTATAGTCCAAGAGCTATAGCAACGTTTTTGAGAGAATATTTTATGAAAGCTGGTTCTTTATTACCTATATATTTTGCTATGCTCTTCTGAACAGAGTGCGGACCGTCTGGCTGCCGGTATACGTTGCGTTCACTACTGCGCATCATATCTGTATCAAGCATTTGTTCAGTACTGCACATCACAAATTCGCCCTGTATTTCAGGAACTAAGAAGGCTAGGACAAACATATGTGTAGAGTAAACGCCACGAATGTTTGGGAGTGATTCATCGCTTGATGAAGTTAGAATCGACACGCGCGCTATCATTTTTACATTTAAAACGTAAATTTTTACCGCAGACGTAGGTTTTTAGAGGCCCGGTCTAATCATCTACCTGCGCTCCTCCTACTTATTCTAAAATGTTAGCGTGATTGACAAAGACGATACTATATCGCGTGTCTTTGATTGATTCGTTTTTGTGCGTCAGTCCATTGGTGTGCTTGCAGTGCGGCCAATGGGGCATTCCATTTTATATTTATAACCTTTGAATAAGAAGACTAAGGAAGGAGCATATCAAAAATCTTAGGTACACCGCGATGGGCCTCAAATATGGCCGACTTAAATTCCGGTTTATCAGTGTCGTTCTAATTTTATTTAAAAAATGTAAAACTATGATATAGTGTAAACGTGGGGTAGACTCAATAATTTGTTGTTTTATTTTACGTTGTGAATAAATGTTGGTAGTTATTAAAATTGTTATAAAAATATATAATTCTAATAAAAATAGATAAGTTATAATAAGTATTTATTAACACAAACATCCGATACGCTACTGAAGCAGGTAAGTCAAATTAACATATCTAAATTCTTTGACATTAAATCTTTGACAAGTAATAAATAAAAGCTAAAATGCAAGAAAAATATATAATTTAGTTAATTTAAGTGAATTTCATAAATGATCGGTTTACTACACGTATGTATATTATACCTATAGTCACTTACTAGCGAAAAGTTGTTCCATTATTTCACTCAATTTTTGCCGAGATCTACCGCACGCTACACAACCAACTATTTTAGAGTCTTTTTCGATAAATCGCGATAGTGTCACTGTTAATTTAAGTTCTGCCACAATTTCCATCTAGATTTACTACCTTTATACAACTATCAGTAGTAGAATAAATAATAAATAACATAAAATAAGCTCCGTAAAGACTGACAAATCCACAAAATTTCAAATCAAATTCAAATGTGTCAAATGAATCGTCAAACAGAACTGTCAAGGATCCCCACCCTAGAGAGCTTTTATGGTGGCTTTTCCGCCCACCATGCATGAATACATGGATAGCATTATGCTCCTTCCTTAGTCTTCTTATTCAAAGTTTATAACCAAATATATGTTTTGACAAGACTTTGACAGTTAAAACAACAAATTACAATAGATTATATATTGATTATTATATGACTTGAAACACCACGGCACTGGAATTAAGTTTTATGCGACCTTGAACAGATTAGTTCACATGGTAGCGACCGATAAATCACTCCCAAACATTCGTGGCGTTTACTATAGTATGTTTAGTTTCATAAAAAGTAGCAAAGTAATGTGAAAATCGCATCATTTTTCTCTACTCATAAAACACACGAAAATGGGATAGTCTGTACAGATGTGATGCGCAGTAGTGAACCGCCGTAGTCTACTGGCAGCCAAACGGCCCGCACTTTTGGCCATCTTTCTTAAAATTCTTGTTTTCCCGACGTTGCTAGCTCTTGTACAGGGGGAGTCAAATTCGACGCTTTTAAATGGAAACACCCTTTTCTATAGGAGATAGACAAAACTAATATCGGTGTCTGGAGCTCAATTTTCATTAAAAACATGGTGGTGAAAACCGCACATCAATATCTGTTACCGTTTCGGAGTTTTTCAAAAATATGCATTTTTAACAAATCGCTGTAACTTTTTTGCTATGGAAAATTTTGTATTTTTATAAAAACATTTCCAAAGCACCTTGTTACGTAGAATTTAATGGTTTAAGTATAACTATTTTAAAATTAATAATTTAAGAATTATCAACAGAAAATTTGATTTTTTATATGGGACAACCTGTATATTTTTAATTTATTGAAAAGAATTTAAAATTACATTTCCAAAAATGTAACACACTTGATATTTTGCTCGATTCCTCTTCGAGATATAGAGTATATCAAAATTCGCCCGCTTTAAATAAGTAAGCTTTGAACGGCACCGGCTGTAATGCAAAAAAAAACTAGTTGTGAGCATCAGTTAAAACGAAAATAATATTTGCTATGAGAGATGCAGAATTTTATAACAATTTAAAATATATTTAACCAACATCAACACATTTAAACTATATCTAATAACAATAAAAATAAATAGCAAACCAAGACATGAGATTTTGCTACAGGTGTTCGACATATCGACCGTCTTATGTTATGGACAGACGGGGCAGTTTTTGAACATTTCTCGCGGAATTCATTAACTCAGTAGGGGTGAAAGATACCCTCTCATAACTGCTAAGTTTTTCTAATTCTTGTCTAGATTATACGGAATAATAAGGAACCTTTATTCTTCCGCAAATATATCCATGGGATTAGATCGATGGGCACTAAGTCAGGCGGCCTCGACGGCCAACAGCTGGGATCTTGGTTAGCTATTCAATTATTCTTGAAATTGGCTGCAAAAATTTGCTGATAACTTCAGCGTTCAGAGGCGGTGCGTCGCGTCGTCTTGCTGGAAAAATATGTTTTCGAGTTCCATTAGGGGCATATCATCAATAAGGGGTCCAAAGCCTACTAGTTAAAAGTGGCGAACTTTTAAAAATTCTGTAATTCGAAGGGGATTATAACAAAATATCAAGTGTTCTATATTTTTGGAAAGGTAATTTTAAATTCTTTTCAGCTAATTAAAAATATAGAGGGTGTCCCAAATAAAAAATCAATTTTTCTGTTGATAACTCTTAAATTATTAATTTTAAAAAAATTATAATTAAACCATTAAATTCTACGTAAAAATGTGCTTTGGAAGTGCTTTCATAGAAATACAAAATTTTCCATAGCAAAAAAGTTACAGCGATTTGTTAAAAATGCATATTTTTGAAAAACACCCCGTAACTCCGAAACGGTAACAGATATTGATGTGCGGTTTTCACCATCATGTTTTTAATGAAAATTGAGCTCCAGACACCGATATTAGTTTTTGTCTATCTCCTATAGAAAAGGGTGTTTCCATTTAAAAGCGTCGAATTTGACTAACCCTGTACTATTATATTTTTATTAAGGTTCGGTTAAATTTGTCAAAAAAGTTTCAAAACGTCCGTTATCGTACGATCTTTCTCCGTTGACGGGCTGGACTAAAAAAATTATTGATTAAAAGTGGCGCAAAAACGCTATGACCAATCAGAGCGCCGTCGGACTATCGTATCAACGGATAACGGACGCATGAAAATCAAGCTTTAATCAATTTGATTTATTAGTAGTAGCAAGTATGGATCAGATACTACGGAAGAAGAAATGGACGAACACCTTTTCTTAAAGTATCAACTGTCTCAGGAGGAGCACGAGATGTCGCTCACGAATCTACTGGATCAGTTCAAGGACAAAAAGGACGAGGTACAGGTTCCTGAACTGTATTTTACCAGCGCAGAACAACTTATCGATGTCTTCAGGTGCGTGAATGTTAATAACTATTTAATGATATATATACCGGGTGTTTCGTCGAGCGGGACATAGGAAATCCCCCGTAAATTTCAATGGGGTCAATTATTGGCTTCCCTAATTATTTTAGAGAATAATCCTATTTAAGTTTATTGAAGAGCACTAAAACCCACATTCAAAAGAATAACTTTAGATATTTTTGATTAGCCCGTTTACGAGTTATCGCCGATTTATTTTTAAATATTTCTCCTTTCTTATGGCCCTGTATTTACTTATGAGCACCAGTCAAGGTAAATGATAACTGTCAAATGAAGTTGTCATTTCAGAAATTTATCTATTTAGTGATTTATTATTATTATTAAAAACTCATACCTACATCGAAAATATTAGCCATGAATTACACTACCGAAGGAAAAGCATTGATGATTAAATGGTATTATCAAGGAAATAGTTATCAAAAGGTGTCGGACATGTTTGCTGCTCTGTATCCGAATAGACCGATACCTGGAAAATCTACAATCGCATGGAATATCCAGAGATTTGAGAACAAAGGTACCCTAATAAATAACTGCAGATGTGAAGCAAGGCAGGAACAAAGAGGAAATGCAAGAAATGACACCGGCTTGGAAGTTTTATTGTGCGTGGAAGAGAACGATGGAAAGATCAGCACAAGGAAACTTGAGGATGAAATAGGAATAGATCACACTACAGCGTTTCGAATTTTGAAACGACATAAATACTATTCCTTCAAATATGAAAAGCACCAAGAGCTACGAGATGGGGACGAAATACGGCGGCAGGCGTTTCGTTTTGATATGATGGAAAGTGCAAACACGGATAGGGAATTTTTAAAAAACATGTTTCACTGACGAATGCACGTTAACCTTAAATAATGAACCCAATGTTCAAAATTATCGATATTGGAACAAAGAAAACCAACACAGGTTTGTCGAAACAAGGACGCAATATCCACAGAAAGTAAATGTTTGGGCAGGGATATTCGGACACAATATTATCGGGCCATTATTTAGCCAGAATATTATATGGAACTACTCGAAAATCATATTTTACCTGCTTTACATGATGCTGATGCCGCTAGGGAAAATCAGGAAGTTTTGTACCAAATGGATGGCTGCCCGGCACATAGTACCCTGGCTGTTCGGGAATATTTAGACAATAGTTTTAACGGAAACGTTATTGGCCTAAATCATACAGTAAATTGGCCAGCAAGGTCTCCTGATATTTCGCCAAATGATTTCTTTCTCTGGGGCCATTTAAGAAACAGGATATACAAGGATAAAAAATACCCAAATCTAAACGAGTTAAAAAATGCTATTTCTGCCGAATGAAATAGAATTTCAGTTTACCAACTGGCGAATGTAAGAAGAGAATTTTATGATCGCCTGGGTTATTATCTAGCAGTCGATGGAGGAATATTTGAACATCTTCTTAAATCCTAAAGTTCTAACAATTTAATAGTACCTAAATTAATAAGGTATTGAATATTGTAATAATACTATAATTAAACCTTGTAATTGATTACTTTATTTTACTTTAATTCATATTAATTTGTATTTATAAATACATTATCTTTAAGATTTCCCATGTAGGAATGAGTTTTCAATAATAATAAAGCACTAAATAGGTAAATTTCTGAAATGACAACTTCATTTGACAGTTATCTTTTACCTTGACTGGTGCTCATAAGTAAATACAGGACCATAAGAAAGGAGAAATATTTAAAAAGAAATCGGCGATAACTCGTAAACGGGCTAATCAAAAATATCTAAAGTTATCCTTTTGAATGTGTGTTTTAGTGCTCTTCAATAAACCTAAATAGAATTATTCTCTAAAATAATTAGGGAAGCCAATAATTGACCCCATTAAAATTTACATGGGATTTCCTATGTCCCGTCCGACGATGCAACACCTGGGGGGTATGTCTCTATTTGACGTAATGACGAAACTTGCAGATTCATGGAAATGCAGAACTTGAATTCTCTGCTCCACTCTGAAGAGTTGGCCGTTCCTCTGGAGCAAGTCCGCGACGGTATGCGCGAGGCAGAAGCCATGTTTGACGAGGAAATTAACAATTTGCAAGAGATGATTGATAAACTTGAAGGTGGCATAAGGTAATATTCTTCCAATCAAGGGTTGTAGTCTTTTATTTTATGTTTTTTTGAGTGTAGCTGGGAGGAAGAACGAGCCAAGTACCTGGAAGACCTCGCCCTCAAACTCATCGGCAACGAGTTCAAAAACCTGATAATGGCCGACGAAGTACTCAACCTCCACGTGTTCGTCGAGGACGTGTACGAGACCCGCATCGGACCCAACGACGCCAACCTGGGCATGGCCGAAATGATGAGGGCCATAGAGACGAAGTACCGCAACGAACTGCTGGCCATGGACAAAGTTCCGGCCGAACAAGTGGCCATGCTGGAGAGAGGCTGCTACGCCGAACAGATGATGATGATGCGGTTGGCGGAGAAGGCTGCCAAGCAGTACTCGGAGCTGCAGAGGGTTACCAGCAAGTTGAACAAAGCGTTCGCGCCTCCTTTTGTCAAGGTCGGCGGCAAAGGTAATTGAATATATCGTCCCGTTAGATCAGAACTATAATCTACGTTTATTTTCTTCAAAATTGAGATTTTTCAATGGTCTAGTAGTGATGTGTCGGTATTTGAATAACGCGATTTTGGAGCGGTGTTTTTTTGTACCGCCGTTTCGCGCTCCACAACGAATCAGGAACCTGTTACTGAAGAACGACGATCATAATAACGATAAAAGTGGAGTTAGCTTGAACCGCAGTAACGAAATAGCGCCGTGTTTCGCTCCAGGCGTCGCGCTCCTAGGGTCCTGATTTGGTCGGTCGCAAACAGTAGTAACTGGAATTGGTACGTAGCGTCGCGCGATCTCAACCGCTTCATCTGTTGCGAAGAGATGTAACTGGAACCGAAGAGATGTAATGTACCGACCTAATACCGCGACGTACTTCGCTCCAGTGCCAGTGGTCGCGCGACTGTTGAGCGCTTGGTTGCGAACAGTAGTAACTGGAACTGGAACTGGTAAGTACGTAGCGTCGCGCTTTGATCGGTCGCTGTTGGCGATGATGCTCCCGTTACAGTCGTTACGATACTTTCGAGATCGCGATTTTCGCTAGATCTCGGTACTAGGCATTCTTTATTGATAATAAATACATGTTAGGTACAGCTGGTTCCAAAAAAAATGAATACGACTCTTTACACATTTTTTTCGCACATTTGGGCAGTGTATATTTATGTGTCAAGTATTTTGACATTTTAAGGTTATTGTGACATTGTATAAAACTGGCAGATAAATTTTTCGGAACGTCAGCATGACATGGGTAGAGAAATGGGGGACTGGTATCATAGAATATACTGCACGAAATAATAAAAATATGTTTTAAATCGTATTCAATTTTATTGGAACCAGCTGTACATCAGATAGTTACGAATAAACACTTTTACAAAAATAAGAAAAAACAAGGAAGAAATATGACCGAAAAAAAAGGAAATTTTTATACCTATTTTCAATTGATTTAAAATATAATCCCAATTAGAGTTATAGTATAGTCTGCAAAGAAAGATAATTAAAATAAAAGTAGTATAGTCTACAAAGAAATATAATTAAGTAAAATAGATTTTAAGAAAAAAGATAGAAAATATAATTATCTTACTAATGTATGTATTTTAATTTAAATTCTAACGGTTCTAACTTGTATCAGAAGAAGTTAAGTTAGAATAAGTTATAACTTTGAGCACACGTTATTTTTTCTTCTAGAGCTTAAGAAGAGGTCTCCACCACACGAACGTAGGCTGCAACAGGTGGTACAGCAGCGCGATTTGACACCTGGTGAAGCGGAGTACCTTGATTACTTCACTGACTTCTGCAAGTACGCCGATGACCCTAAGGACTACGGTATTGACGTCACCGGTATTCCTGGAGGTTCTTCGGCGGAAGAAAATGTCCACTAGAACGAAATATTATGTGCATCTAATGTAGTAATCTTATTCAGATTGATTATATAATCAATAATTATATATATATATACAAAAAATTTTCAGGTGTGCCGAATTTAGATATATCAATCTGGTAACCTTTAACCTTAACCTTTCTATACACACAATCAAACTTATATGGAATTACTCTTTATTTCTAACTAAAGTTTTAGCAAGGAAAAAAAATGGTATACAACTTTAAGATAGGGCTTTCTGTTGTAAATAAACATGATAATATAAAGAATAAACGACTGATGCGATTTATTTTTCTGTCAATTTTGTGTTCAGTAGTAAAATCACATTGTCCGGTAGTTTTCATTAGATCCAAAAAAAGATGCCTTATGTTGGATTAAAAGATGTACAGAGGGAATGAATTATTGCTCTCATTGAACAAGGAATGTCCCAAAGTGACGTAACAAAGATAGTAGGCGTTACCCAAGGATACTACAGATATAAGGATAGTTCGATTCCTATCTTCCTGCACTGTCAGTTTTTTTACGTCATCTACTGACCGAGTTGAAGTTGGTGCTAAAGATTTTGACAGTGACAATTTTAGCATTTGACGGACGAGCGCACAGTGCGTTGGAAGATAAATTTAGCGGGACAAAAGCGTTTGGTTAGAAATAAGCCAAAAAATGTGTACTGATAATAAATAGTAGACATTCCAATTGATACAAAAATGCATGAATATTTTTTGTATTTCGATACATTTTTATCAACCAAATTTGGTCGTTTTCTGCTCAGCAAGGCAGAGATCATACGAAAACAAAATATTTACAAGTGCTTATACATTTTATTAGAAAGCCAAATTATGTTGAAGATTGCCAAAGGTATGTACTTTTCTACTGTACTATATTATTTGTTAAAATCCTTCGTGCCTTTGTTCTGCACATATCAAACTTTCACTTTTTTTTCAAATATCGATATATTGAACGATGTAGATCTTTTGAGTTACCAATAGTTACCAACACAGGTAGTCACAGTCACAGGGAGTTCAAGCTTAACAGGTGAATGTCCAAAAAGATTAATTTCAATCGGATAGTATAAAAACAAAACAACTCCACCAAAAGGCACTGAGTTTAAAAAATTGTCTTAGATACTTACTATATATGAATTTACAATTAACGAGTGTTAAAATTAAAATTAAAATATCTATCTTATTTATTATTTTCAAAATAAAATATATTTTTTTTTAAATAATTTATAGAGGGTGTCACAAGATTACAAATTAATTAAAAAAAACTGCTAAAGAGTTTTTTGATATCATAATTTTATGTATTTGGCAATAGTTTACAATACGGTTTTTGTGTGTCATGCAGTGGCGTAACTTTTGATGTGCCGTGTGTGCGAAGCACACGGGCCCGGGCCTTCGGGGGGCCCGGGCCGCATTTCCATATCTGTCACATGCTATCGCGAATCAAGCAGAATCCTTCTGTTTCTGATGAGGATATATATGAAATGGGTCAGGTTCTATACCTTAAATACCCCGATGATATTGCCTATACGATTTCTTCTCAATTACTCTCCTTCAGACAATGTTTCCGAAATAATTTATATGAAATCAATTGAATTAAACTCACTGAATTTATTTTAATTAAAAACCTTTCATCGACTTCTAGTTTCAGCGAGATCGAACAGTCCTTTAGAATATATACAGTCCTTGGGCGTTACCCAGGATGTGATATCGAAAACACATGCAAGGTACTTGGAACTAGGAACGTTCAAGAACAGGCCCAGATAAAGTCATCAAAGAGTCATAATTGAACAACGAGACCGCTTTGTGTGCCAAATTGCTAGAAAAAATCCCAATGTTTCTCAACCAAAGGTACAAAGACAACTTCTGGCCGCTATAGGTGTGAACGTTTTAATTAAAACCATAAGAAAAAGGCTTCGTGCTCGAGGGTTATTCAGTAGTGGAGAGTTACGGGTCCCACAGTTATCTCAGCAAAATAAAATTAACTGGCTAAATTGGGGCCTTCAACATCAAAACTGGATAATTGAGAATTGGCAAAATGTCCTTTTTTCGGATGAGATCAGAATTGGCCTAAGACCAGATGACCATAGAATTCGGGTTCTTAGAGCTCCGGAAAGACGAACGAGACTCCAAGCTGCCAAATCTGTACCAAGATATAAAGGAGGAATTGTAATGTTCTGGAGAGGTATTATGCTGGGAGCGAAAACTCCATATTATTGTTGTATTCCATGTATATGTTGATTTAGTGCTAGAACCAATTGTTAGGGTTTGGAGCAGTGGCGGATGCAGGGCGAGGGCCCATGGGGCCCGGCCCCTCCCTAAAGTCTGTGAATTGTGTAAAATATTAGGCTTTTGGGTTAAAAATGGCGCCCTAAAAAGCATATTCTACATTGCTTTTCATTTTGGGCCCCCCTAAAGTAAATTCCTGTATCCGCCCCTGGTTTGGAGAGCTGCAATTGGGGATAATTTTAACTTCACGCACGGTAATGCACCTCCTCATACCAGCAGAGTGGCTAGAGAATATCTTGAAATGGAAGGTGTCATAGTATTGGACTGGCCTGCATGTTCACCAGATCTAAACCCTCTCACAGCTTATTGATGCAGCATTGACAGAATGGGAAAGCATACCCCAAGACAACGTTGATAATTTAATAAGAAGCATGCTAGCGCGAATAGAAGCTTGCATAAGGGCTAGAGGTGACAAAACGGATTATTAAAATTATCAATTGTCTTGGTGTTTTTTCTTTTTGACTATTAAAAATTTAGATCTCATTTCCTTTCAGAAACCAAAAAAATACCATTGTGTTTATTTTTGGAACTGATTAATCTTTTTATTGCTATACGGATTATTTTTCATTAGAAGTCTTTGGTAAGGACTGAGTTTTATTTATACAACTGCAATTTTAAACATACTGCACCCTAGCTAACACAAAATGTTCATACGTCTGAAAAATTATGAAAAATAATAGGTGATTCCATCTAAGTTTGGTTGTGTGTATGTCTTTTTATTCTATGATCGTGACAAATACAAAAATTTCGAGAAATTAGTACATTTCTGGTCGTTAGGACGCCACTGGCCTCGTTAGACGTTTATAAAACGCCGACCCGGATAAATTAATCCCGCGTATCCCGCACGCACAGCTGCTAAATAGAAAAATTGCCCTTTTGACACCCATAAATTTCGGTACGGATGCCTCGTCCTCCCCTATCGCATCAGACGAGACGCAACAACAAACACCAAAGCGCTGAGAGATATCCTGTGGGACCTTAAATATAACTATAATACAGAGGCGACTAGATTAGGGGGGACAAAGTCAGTGAAACAGACACAAAATGGGCTGGAACAATGCCAGAAATATAATGAAAGAACAAAGGATTCGAGAGCTTTAAAATGAAAAAATTAAAGAACACAAGTATTATTTATAAAACGAGATATTCGTATAGCAAAAGATATATTAAAGAACCAGCTGTCTTAAAATTCTCCATCGAAAACGTTGCTAACAGTTGAGCAACGATAAGAGCAGCGCTAATTCACTGCTTTTATCGTTTAGAGCAGCGATAGTAGCGAGGCAAAGAATATTATTATATTAATTAAAAATGGGTACGTTTATGTATGAGCTGCGATAAACGATAAAAGCAGTGAATTAGCGCTGCTCTTATCGTTGCTCAACTGCCAACCGTGTCTCGACGCTTTGCTCCAATATAAACACCTACATATAAATTAATATAATAATATTCTTTGCTTCACTACTATCGTCGCTCTTACATAAACGCACCCTTAGGGCAAGGACTGTATTCTAAAGGACTGTTCGATCGCGTCAAATCGCCGCTGTCGTAGTCGCCCTGGAATGCTACGTCACGCGCTGACCAGCGCTCCACAGCGCGGCGGATGGTTATTCTAGCGGGACAAAATCTCAAGAGCAATGTTTGGGACTTAAATCTAAGAACGTAGCAAATGGTCTAATATATAGCAACTATATGGTTAAATTTATTTATTTATTAACAACTTAATTTATTAATAAATAAATACAAGATAATAAAACTATGATATTATTCGTACATGACACACAAAAACCCTATTGTAAACTATTGCCAAATACATAAAATTATGATATCAAAAAACTGTTTAGCAGTTTTTTTTTAATTAATTTGTATTCTTGTGACACCCTCTATAATTTATTTTAGAAAAATATATTTTATTTTGAAAATAATAAATAAGATAGATATTTTAATTTTAATTTTAACACTCGGTAATTGTAAATTCATATATAGTAAGTATCTAAGACAATTTTTTAAACTCAGTGCCTTTTGATGGAGTTGTTTTGTTTTTATACTATCCGATTGAAATGAATCTTTTTGGGCATTCACCTGTTAAGCTTGAACTCCCTGTGCCTGTAACTACCTGTGTTGGTAACTCAAAAGATCTACATCATTCAATATATCGATATTTGAAAAAAAAGTGAAAGTTTGATATCTGCAGAACAAAGGCACGAAGGATTTTAACAAATAATATACGTACAGTAGAAAAGTACATACCTTTGGCAATCTTCAACATAATTTGGCTTTCTAATAAAATGTATAAGCACTTGTAAATATTTTGTTTTCGTATGATCTCTGCCTTGCTGAGCAGAAAATGACTAAATTTGGTTGATAAAAATGTATCGAAATACAAAGAATATTCATGCATTTTTGTATCAATTGGAATGTCTACTATTTATTTTTTTCAGTACACATTTTTTGGCTTATTTCTAACCAAACGCTTTTGTCCCGCTAAATTTATCTTCCAACGCACTGTGCGCTCGTCCGTCAAATGCAAAAATAACTGTCACTGTCTAAAATCTTTAGCGCCAACTTCAACTCGGTCAGTAGATGACGTAAAAAAACTGACAGTGCAGGAAGATAGGAATCGAACTATCCTTATCTCTATAGTGTCCTTGCCCTTAGGGTAAGTTTATGTTGGAGCTGCGTGTTCTTTAATTTTTTCATTATAAAGCTCCCGAATCCTTTGTTCTTTCATTATATTCCTGGCATTGTTCTTGATTATCTACCAACATTTTTTTTCAGAGTATAAAGTAGTGTAAATATTTTTTT